GATTTTGAAATCACGCGTATGATTTCAGACCAAATTGCACTCCACTCAGTTCAATTACCATTATTAATATTTAAGAAAGTCACGTTTTATGATTACATTTTGCGGAGATTTGGCGGATCAACCTGGTAGTGTTGTGTTAGGAAACAGAGGACGATTCCGGGCACGATACTGAATGGCTACTCACAAATATTCTTTTCTTTGATTTAGTAGAGAAAACTGTGTCGTGTAAATGGCATCGACCGTTTACGAAACGGACAACTGCGTGCCGTAATCTTTGTGTGGGATGTCCAACTCGCTGTGATCCCCCCCAAAAGAAAGAGCGCTGAATAGAAAATTGCGAATTTACATAATTTCCGAAAAAGAGGACAACCTCCTGAGGATTACCCAAATTTTGGTAAACGTTTTCCTCGAAATTTCCGTTCCATTTGATTTTCATCCTATAATTTCCGTAATTTTTGGTTGAATGGTTCGCTTTTCTGAAATTCAAACATTTACGGATTTTTTGAAACCTTTCCCAGGAAATTTCCCTACCATTTTTCTCTGTTTTGAAAATTTCGGAAGATTTGGTTGAATGGAAAGCGCCCCTGATCAGCCAATTAAGGGAAGCTGCTTGTAGCTTTGTTTTGTTTCTCTCTATCTTTCTTTCTTCCGCAAAAGTCAGCATGTAAGAGAGGCGGATGTCTTCAGGGGAGAAATTAGCAAGAGACAAAAACCCGTTTCAGTCGCGTTCCCGTTCTTTGTGGGCATTTTCGTCACCAGACTCACCTGTCCCTCTTTCCAACGGGGCCTTAGTACGAAGGAAAGGTAGCTCTTGAGATATACGTACTATTTCGCTAGGTCTTGGGCAAATACTCCTAGTAATTCATCATGTCCAATGCTAATATCTTTCTGAAAATATCCATTGTTTTATCTCAAACCGTTCGACTACTGCACCCACGGACCTTTAACAGGTTTAACAAAGGAAATTAGAAGTGAAATTATTTTCGAAAGTTTCGTTCGAGGACTGCACTGAAGTTCGTTCTCTTATTTAGTCTTCCGATATATTTGGTTTAGGAAATGCTGGAGATAAGCTGGCTTATCATAATGGCCATAAATTCCCTACACAAGATCATGATAACGACGTATCTTCTTCTTATATTTGGTTTAGGAAATGCTGGAGATTATCTGACTTACCATAATGGCCATAAATTCTCTACAAAGGATCAGGATAACGACCCATCTCCCATTAACTGTGCCGCGCAACCGGATGTGCAAGGAGCCTGGTGGTTCGATGACTGTAGACTCAGCAACCTGAATGGTGCCTATTCGAACGAAGAGGGCCAGGGACCTTGGTTATGGGGTGGCATTCACCCAATTAAGAGGATTGAAATGAAGATCAGACCGACAGATTTGTTTAAACCGATGGATTGAGT